AGCTTCCCTCACTGGCCTGAAAAACAACTTGCGTGCTCTCATTCAGGAAGTTCTTTCCTGCATGTCGTCCTGGAGGTTGTCCCCAAATCTATCAAAAACAAAGATCAAGCTCTTCCCGCCCCAGCCGGAGTTCACAACCCTCATCCATGCTAACTTTCCAAATCCAATTGACATAGTGTCTTCTCACAAACACCTTGGCATTGTGATTGACTCTGCACTCTCTTGGGTACCTCACATCGAATATATCTGTAAAAAATCAAGTAAATCCTTAGGAATTCTCTCCCCCCACTGCTCCTACCTCCCACTTTCTTGCAAGCTTCTTTTTTATTTAGCCTACCTTCGCCCAATATTTCATTATGCGGATACGTCTTGGGTTGGGTTATCCTCTTCCGCTACTGCAAAGCTTGAAATACATCACAAGAAAATCCTTAAAATTCTCCTCCGTCAACCCCGCATGCTCTCATCATCCGCCCTTTATAAAATCGCTCACACAACCCCGTTATCACATGGACGCAGTGCATACCTGGCTTCTCTTGTCCATTCTATTAAGCTTGAGTTGTGCCCACCTCATCTCATGTGTTTTAATTGGTTCTCTTCTCTAAGAACTAGAAACTCGCTCTTACTCCCTAAGTGTAACTCATCCACTCTTTTGCGCTCCCCTCTCTTTATTGCTTATTCTGTTTGACTCACTCTACCCAGAGAAGTTAAGGACCTGACCTCACTCCGCCTGTTTAAGATCCGTGCCGCCCCTTATTTACTACGACATGCATAGCTCATTATCCACATGTCCTTTGCGTCTGTGTGTTTTTCACTGTTTTTATTTGACATTATCTTTCTTTACGGAGTTGTTGTTGCTGTTCGTTTTGCTACTCTTTCTTTTTCCCTCCCCTTATTTCTATTTATCGCCGTGGTTGGCAATCACCCACTCTCGTAATATTGGCCGGTGTTTCCGCGGAGTCTTGAGATGTTGCAATAAATAATAATAATATGAACGTAAGATTCATATTTTTTCTCAGATTCGGGGTCCTCGTGGACTTTGAGATTATGTGTGCAATAATGAACGGCTAATATAGCTCGCGCGGGCGAGCTGAACCAGGAGCGGGGAACGGGCTTTGTGCCCTATCATCACGTGCGTTGTCCTTTCGTGTAAGGGATTAAAAAAAAGTACAAACGGTGCCACATCTTCTAGTATCCGTATTCAAGGAAACGAATTGCTGCATACCCAAGTGACTCTGGGGATACGTTGACATCCAGAATACTCACAGCACCCCTCCCACCTCCCCCTCCACGTTCAACTCTAGAACGGACTTGCTATGGAATGCGCATATGGTGACGTCTCACAGCACGTTGAACAATTTTCACGTAGACGCCGCCAACATATTTGGGTTTGCAGTAGTAAGAATAGTACGTCTAATATAGACATACATGTACGTGTACCGGAATGCATGTATTATAATTTTTATATGCACACGTGACTTTGAGTTTCCTTATCATAGACTCCATATGCAGAGCTCGCTATTGAGATTGATCAAGACCTTTCCTGGGAAATTTTGCAATTCCCAGGTCTTGAAACCAGGAGTGCATTTTCAATTATTTATTGCACTGCAGAGACAGCTGTCATCGCTGAGAGTGTACATATAAATGCAAACCCTCTTTGCGGGTTCCATATACCCGCAGCTTTACTGTGGCTTCAGTGGGAAAGTGTTATTTACAAACCGCCACAATAAACAGAGGATGATAAGTTCGTTGTAACGCGTTTCACACATGAGACGAGCTTAATACAACATAATGAGATAAATCTGGTTACTGGTTTATATACCCACTAAGTAACGATGTGATTTACAGCAGTGCTCTATATCAAAGCGTGACTGATACAGCAATGCATGGCATCATATCCGATTATGCTGTATGATAATAGCCTGGTTCGTGTAACTCAAGAGTTACAACGAACTTCTAATCTTCTAATTATTGTATGTGGCTCAGTCCTTTGGGCATAGAGCATTGTTTCGGAAAGCCTGAAACCTTCCTGGTTTCCAAAACGTGACGTATAAAGCTCATATTGGATTTGGGCATTCACATCTGTTTCAAATCCGTCCTGTTAGCCAGAGATGTACTGCTGAGAAACACCGATGCAGTGGGGCCTGGTCTGCAGACCAATCATAGGCCACTTAGCATAGAAGAACCTGCCGTAAAAGAGAGCCATCTGCTGGGTACTAAGCATTGGAAAGGTCCATGGGGAGAAAGAACCAGGCCAGTGGATTCCTGTAGTCTTGTTTCCCCGTGATATGTCTGGCTAGTTATCTCTCTGAGGTGCACTATTGGATCGACACATTGTATTCCTGTGAAGATGTGATGCTTGGCTCCGTAACCTTTTCCCTCCTGTCAATGTTCATCGTCACAGAGGCTGTGGCGTCAACAGGTACCGCAACTCAGTCCTTGTCGAATGTTAATGTTGCGCGCAACCAGGACAAGCACAAGCTGATAGCATCAGCTGTGAAGGGTGTTGGCGGAGAGACATGTATATCGATAACGATACTGGCAAGACACCATTAAGTTTGACAATACGGTCACACCACGATTCTAGCGCTTACAAGATGTGCTAGAGCTGATTTGCACCTAGTCGTAGAACGTCCGTACCGTCGCTCAGTGTCGTGCAATATTGTCGCATGACCTCGTCTTTTGGTTTTTTTGCATCATTGCATGTACAAGAACTCTATCATTTCACGTTACGATGTTAGCAACTTTTGAGCCTCTTTTGTAAATGTGGGTGCGATTTCAAAAAACTTTCACTTGTTTTGGCGCGGTTGCGAAAAGCATTAGTTGCGAACAATTATGGCATCGTTGGAAGAGGGCTACTCTCCATCCGAGTCCATCCTCGCACAACTGATAAGCCCTACTTATTAATTCTATTCGGCGATACTCTGGTCTTGTGAAACTGCTGCTTAATTGACATATAAATTGTGATAGTCTTTCCACAGTACTGTTTGATTGAGGCATTCGGTTTTGAACGAATTTTTGCGTGGCATTGCGCCCTTGAATCGTCGTTTGAAAGTATCATCCAATCATCTTGTCAGTATCGTCATCGATATACATGTCCACCCACCAACGTCCTTCACAGCTGGGAATCTTAGTTTGTGCTTGTTTTGGCTGCGCGCACCATCTCCAACTATGCAATTACCGCTAGAGCTGATTGCTAGCCAGGTGTAGAACTCATTATTATCATAGGTAACACCGCCACAAGTACAGTACATTGTCATGGTATCAGTGGCAGTGTAACTTTGATAGTACACGTACAATTGTAGTTACTTCCGTGAGATATCCAACATGGGAGTTCATCCACGACCATGGCCTATGGTCCGGGCCAGCGTCCCCATTTGAATCCACAGGTAGGAACCTCGTGCTACTGGTTCGTTCGGGTCCCGTCATTCGCGATTTAGGTGGATCAGTTCACATTTCTCCAGTACTAATTTCTTATTTTTACGACGGAGCAGCACTAATTAAGGTTTTTCAGAACCGCTCACAGAGCGATTTTTATAATGGATAATGCATGTGTGTACCGCTTATCAACGGCTGCATGGCCAGCGCTCTGGGGCCGCCAGACGTGCCCTACGAGCATTCTCGTCGTAGGGTAGCCATGTGTGTCATAAGGCAAAAGCATAAAAAGAACAGAAAAAGAGAAGAAAAAAGATAACTACACCGATAAACAAGCTGCCTAGACCTATCATGGTCGGAAGAGAGAAAACTGATCCAGTCTTTGATATTGGTATCAGATGTTGGTGAACCAATTTTGACTGTGGCGACCACGACGTCTTGATCCATGCACCATTTCATTCAAGATATAGTGGGAGTAGCTATCGTGATGCCTTGCTACATGTCCAAACCACTTCAGCTTAATACATTTGACAGTTGAATTGAGGCGTGTGAACGGACCAATAGCATTCTTGACTTCCTGCAGTACTGACTTATTTGTGCGATGATGATAGTATTTGATACAAAGCACAGTGCTAGCAACTAATACTACCCCTGAGCGGTGCGCTCACATCGCAAAGACCCAACACGGGATTGTAAAACTACGAAATAGAGACCGGTAGAATGTGAACGCACTGCTCAAGGGTTGGATTTCAGTGGCCAGCACTGTGGCTTGCGCAGATACCCGAGCTCAAAAGCTCTAATTTGTTTTAGGCTAGCGTGTGAGATGTTCAAGGGCAGGCAACCATAGGGCCAGTCTTTTCTTGACTTGGACGTCAGATGTTCCACTTGCAGGGATGGTCGATTCGAGGTAATTGAATTGTTGTACCGGCTCCAATGCAACACAATCCGCGCAAACTGCAGGATCACCAGCTGAAACAGGTTGATAAGGGGTCACCCTATGTAACCAGCGAATAATAATAATAACACTATATTTTATAGTCTGATGAGTGAGTTTTTGAACGCGAAACTCGGGATCACGAGAAAGCCTTTGGTCTCTGTTGTTCTGCCTTGTGTAGTAAGCTCTGCGCTCGTTAGGGTATTGAGCACGATTTTCAGCAAGAACCGCGGGTATTTTGTCTACATTGTATGGATATATTTGGTGTTGCTGTGCCTCAGGTATGTAGCAGAGGAACGATGCACTTGTACTGGATGGTGCACTACTGCCACGGAGATAGAGAGTGCAAAACAGGGGATGAACGATAACATACAGATCTGCAACCATGTATAGTTAGCTGCTGAGAAAATTTGCTCTACATAATCACAATCATGGACAATGCATAACATTATAACAGATCGCGGCTATAACCATTGTTTTCATTTCCGTCGATGCTGGAACCAACAGGTGAGACACAGCAGCACTGTCCTGAACGTGCGCAGGAAGCAAACCACTCACACTGACTGTTGTGTACGTAACAAGCCAAACGCTGAGAGCGGATAAGATCTGGTCTTCTTGTAGCTCGCTTCGTATTTAAACTACTTCACAACACAACCCAACGTTTCTTATGTAACTACAAGCATAACGATAGTGGACGGAGGTGAATGTTAGTTCAGAGAAATATTGAAGAGTGGAAAGCTTACTGTAGTTTCGGAGCGGGAAACGAATTGCAGCAATGCAGATACAGATGTGGCTGTACACGGGTATTGTGCTGTACCTCAGTTATACGTGTATGCGGACGTACGCTACACAACAAGCGTGTAAGATTTTGATATATCGTTATATTTTGTGTTCATCACTCCACACTATTCGTAGTTTGAGAACTCTAACAGAACATGGAGCTATCTTATTTATTTTTAATGGCTATATTGCAAACTTTGCACCATGGCCCGTAGTTCGGCTTCCAGCTCTTTGCTACACTGAAGTCGCATGGATGGCAGAACCAGCTTGCTTCCTACTGCATTGGGTATTTATATCCTCATTTTTTAAAGTTTTCCCAAAGGTTGTTCGCCTGTTGCCTCTTTTTATTCCACTGTCCATCTGAGTCGGAAGGAGAGAGTAAAAAATCTGCTATCGCCGCTCTATTCTTAGAGAATCCACTAGGTAGAAATTAACGCAACCTTTGAACGTATCAGCATTAACGTTTCTGAAGTTTCAAGATTCTGGAGATATTTTCAAAATAAATCAACGAAAGTGAGCTCTCATAAACAGTCATTATACGGCGAAGAACAAAAGAAATTACATTGATATGTACAAGAAACTAACTCTCCTCCTCCATGCGCTCTAAAGCCGACCATTGCTACCCTCGCTACCCTACCCTCATTACTCACACCAATAACTTCAAACAACGAAGGGGTCAGGGGTAAAAAAATTCCTTCTGACAGCTGTTTCGCCTATCAAAGGCTCGTCAGAGAAAGTGATACTGACTAGTAGTGGCCAAGGCACGCATCCTGTGAACCTGCAGTGATCTTACAGAGTTTGTATAATCATCACTATATCATTCGTTTACGTAATTGGGTTGATGCTTCACAGCTGCCCGTACAAGCGGCTCAAAGGTGTTTGAAAAAAAGGAAAAAAGCACGTGCTAGCTCCAGCCTGATCGCCAATTTTCCGTTTTCTCGTAATCTGTTCAAAACGATTTGCCGTTCTCGTGTAAACTACTTGAAAACGATTCGTGGCCAGCCTGCTTTCGTTCTGTTTCGTTTCGTTTCGTCTCCGTACAAACGCAGCCTCAGAGGGCACTAATTTTTGAACTCAACACCTCTTGATCAATCAGCTATAGGCATTGGTCTCCCCTGGCGCAATTATGCGGTCTGCTTTCCCCACTGATGATTAAATTATGTGTGAAGTCGCGGACCGAGGATGTGAACGGGTTAGCTGCTCCCGGCTAATGAAGTCCCCACACACCAGAACACAGGGGTTTTATATGATTGGATTATGGAAGTATTCGGCAAGAGTGTAGACAGGAATGGAAAGGAGAACAGGACAACGACAACTCAAGACTAGACTAGAACAGAACGGAGCATGCGCTCTTCATGTGAGTGGCTCTCATCGCCAAGGGGAACGAGCGGGAAATACGAATAGTGAGTATGTACAAGTCGTAGCATAATTACACCTATTACACTGTGCCCCCCCCCCCAAGCTAAAATTTACGTCCACGGGAATGAACGAAATACCTAGGAAACAAAAGAAAACAAAAACAAATAATAAATTCAGTCCAGGACATAGTCAGCCAGTCGAGCAGGTGCAGGGCGGACACGGCCAGAACGACGAGGAACAGGAGAAGAAGCACGGACTGGACCAGAAGACTACGGCTGTCGCGGCGGAACGCAGCGCGGCAAATCATCCTCAGACAGCGTCAGCGGGTGAGGAGGCAGGCGGTTGACAGTCGGGAGGACGGGAAACGGCTTCAGGTGGACGAACAAACTGGCCACTGGCAGCATCATACCTGGTGAAACACTCAGATAGAGCAGGATCAGCACATGGAGCAAGAAGACTCTGAGGCTGGAAACAATCTAGTGACGACGGTCCAGAGGCAGAGGCACCAGGACGACGAACAAAAACGGCCGGAGAAACAATCTCGGCAGCCGGAGGAACATCAGCAGCAACAGGCACTTCAGCAGCAGCTGACAGCGGAACAGCACGGGCAAGAGGCGGCGGACTCGGCGGAGGAGACGGCACATTGGTCACCACGCGGGAGATAGCATCAGCATTCCTGTGTCGAGAACCAGGGCGGTGCACAACAGTAAACTCGAATTCAGCCAAAGCCTCGATCCATCGAGCTTTCCGACAACGTGGCTCCTTGGTTGCCCGCAACGCAGTTAATGCGGTATTGTCTGTCCTTGCAGTGAATTCGCGACCAAGCAGATAATGCTGGAAGTGGTTGGCGAAAAAGACAAGGGCCAGGGCTTCGCGGTCACTGGCGTCATGGTTCCGCTCCGCTTTCGACATTATTCGGCCACCAAACGCAACGGGGCGTTCCACCTGGTCCTGTACCTGGCTCAGGACACCACCAATGGACACTTTTGAGGCATCCGTGTCCAGAAAGAAAGGACCGGCATCTGGTCCGAAGTCCGGGAATGCCATAACCGGAACACTCGACAGCGCAGACTTCAGGGCGCGGAAGGAAGCGTCGCAAGCTTTTTTCCAGACAAACTGTGCATTCTTGCCAGTTAGAGCCGTCAGTGGGGCAGACCGCTGCGCAAAGCCACGGATGAATCGACGGTAGTATCCCGCGAAACCAAGGAATGGCCTGACTGCAGTGACAGACGTCGGCGTCTTCCACGTAAGTATCGTGGAAACCTTGTCCGGATCAGGGGCAATTCCGTCTGCCGACACGCGGTGCCCGAGGAACGCGACGTCCGACCGGAAAAGGGAACACTTCGCCACGTTAAAACGCAGGCCTGCTGAACGCACACGCTCAAAGACTCGCGACAAAATTATAACTTGGCCTGACAATGTTTCGCCCGCATTTAAGACATCGTCAAAGAAAACACGGCAAAAAGGTTGAGCAGCAGCTTTACACAGCCCACGAAGAACAGCTTCCATAACTCTCTAGAAGGTGGCAGGACCATTCCTGCACCCCATCGGCAGCACTGTAAACTCATACAGGCCCAATGGTGTTGTAAACGCGGTCTTCGCTCGGTTGTCAGGATCCATCGCAATCTGCCAATACCCAGACACGAGATCGAGCGACGAAAACCACTTACAGCCAGACAGCGAGTCGAGCATGTCATCCACCCGTGGAATCGGATAGGCGTCCCGCTTTGTGACACCGTTTAACTTACGATAGTCAACGCAAAGTCGTAAGGAACCGTTCTTCATAGGAACCAACACGATTGGAGACGCCCACGGACTGATAGACTCTTGGATGATACCCTTCTCTAGTAACTCATCCAATAACGTCTGCAGAGCAGAGCAACGCGACGGTGATTGCAACGCTAACGCCGAGACCCCTGGTCGGTCGAGTTGCTCCCTGTACATCGGCACGTCGTCCCTACATCCCCTGTGTCTTGTCTTGTGTTTGTCTCCACATGTCTCTTTGTAGGGCTGTGTTCCCAAAAAAAAAAATAATAATAATAAAAAAAGATACGGAATGCGCCGAGCTGCTTGTTTAATAGGAGTATGTGTGCTTGTAACAATTTTATGCGGAAACATATCACAATAGCCATAGTCGTCTTCATGCAATATAAATAGGTCGTGATTATCAATAAGGAGTGTGGTGAGCATGCTTTTGGTTTCGGATGAGAGGTTTTGTTGTTATTTAACGTATTCATGAATGGTAGCCTTGCGCTGTTCTGTGAGTTCAGGTGTGTGATCAGTGGTCACGGATGAAACGGCGGCTTCATCTTCATCATCATCATCCATAATGAGAGGAGACAGTTCGCCAATATTGGTATTTTATGTATAATAAGATTATGCTCAGCGTGATTCTCAATTGTCATGGCAATGTGTGAGTGATCGGGACCCACTGTTACAAGTGCAGGTGTCACCGACAACGTAGGAAACGTATCCACAAACGACTCTAGTGGATCAGCAACACAATCCAGACTTTCCGAACAAGCATCCACATAGACACATGGTACTAGCACAACATGGCCAGCAGGCACAGACAACTCATCGTCAAGGGCAACACGAGAAGAATACGACGAAACAGGTACATCGTCGGAGCATGCATCGGAATGAGGAGTATGAGTATTACATGAGGAGGAAGAATACGATCATAGGGCGTACGTACCCGACGGAGGACACCCAGAACCAGAAACATGCAACGGAACAGACACATCGCCAAACATTACAACACCACCAGCAATATCTAATACACCACCATGCTGCAACAAAAAATCGGAACCAAGAATCATGTCGCAGTGAATACCAGGAGAGACTACAACTGTGTGCTGGAAAGACAAATTTCCTAGCGACATACACAGATCCATGGATCCAACGACAGGAAGTTCAGTTGTGCGCCATTGACTGCACACAACCGCGGAGCAGACTCTAGAGGAGGTCGCTCTGTCAAATTAGGCAACAATTTAGAATGCACTAACGACACACTTGAACCCGAATCAACAAGAGCAACAACAGGAGACGAAGACGAAGACGAAAGACAAACATCAACGTGTACAATAATGGGTGAGATAGCACCACATACCTCCTCGAGGGACTCCACTCGGACGACTGACGGCGGCCCCGTGTCACCAGTCCAACCTAGTTTTTTGAGTGCGGGCAAGATGCAATGAAGTGGCCCTCTTCACCACATCCATGGCACACTCCACGGACAGGCCTCGCCAAACACTGGCCACGACCACGGCTAGGCGCACCGGCACCAGCACCACGAGCAACAAAACGTACATGGTCTTGCTGGGGTCGGGTGGGGCGATACAGACTCACGCTCTCCATTTTCGCCTCCAAAGCAGAGAGACGGGAATCAAATCTCGGCAAAAGCGAAGCCAACTGGTCTCGCTCAGATTCCGATTTCAGTGGACTGACTGCTGTGTAGGGGTCACGACCATGAGCAGTGCGACCGGGCTTCACTTCCGGAGCAGCAGCAAATACGGGCTGTGCATACTGGTGAGGTAGATCTACGGTGCGGGCCTGTTCGCGAGCATAATTAGCACCTACCCCGATGGCCTTTTGGACCGCCACATCCAAATCAGTGGGGCGAGGTGACGCCAACGCCAAGCGCAAATCCTTCGATGCTTGTCCATCAAAAAATAGTTGCAAAAGCATGGAATCAAGCAGTGCACCTTGTTGTCCTGGG